AGTGAGGCTTTGCGTGAGGCACAAAACTGATACGGATACGTGATTTTCTATCATGATCTGGCCTTTGATGTGGAGCAGAAAACCGATCTGTTCACATTTCGATCCAACGCACCACCCATCGGCTGTCTTGCGGATGTTTCGGGGGCGGTCTCTGCAGCCGATAATGCATAATTCCATCGCTTCTGTGTTCTAGGAAACATAACAATCACACAATTTTTATTTAAGCAAAGACATATCAAACTGGCATCATGTCTATAGTTCTCGGAACATACCACATATATCGCTTTATTAATTTTATAGCGATACCATAACTTTATGCCATTTATTTTCAGAGCTGCTTTGCTAATCTGCGTCCGAAACTTGCTATATAAAAAGATACCACTTAAAGGGACCCTCCCACCTTCAAAAAAGTTAATGAATTGGCATGAAAGTGATGTCGCTCGGTTCAGAAGGAGCAAAAACGAATATCTACCAAATTTCACCGACAAATACTCACCGGTTTTCAAGATATTATACTTTTACTTTTGTTTACTTTTTGGGATCCCCGCTGTTCCTAGCGACTTTATTTGGAAGCAATAGTTTGGCAGCTGAAAGTGCGGCACTTGTTGCGCGCAAAGCAGCATATACCACCGCGTGCTACGGAACGTTTTAGTCAAACATGTAAAAATCGTTAGATCTGCGCTGACGTCACACATTCAGAGGGGTATTCAAAAGCATTAGCCCCTCTAAATCCAAATGCTGCAATTTTGAAATTCAATATTTCCGATTTAAGGCATTTCTCGATGTTGTGAGTGCCGAAACCGGTAATTGTGAGCCAGGGACCCCATTTTGGCTATCTCAACTCAAATCTAATGTTAAGGTGGGAGGGTCCCTTTAATATGAAAGACAGCTTATTTTTTATTTTAAGTATTTACCTTAGAATTTTTATTAAACCGTTAATGTGATGGGTCTGTTTCGAATCAAAGTTTGTATAACAACCTTGAGTTTGTCTATACGCCGTCCTTTTGTTGGAAGTCGGCGCGCCACCTCTATCCTGGTTATTGTCAAAACTGAGGAGGAAGTGGGCACGACTCTGGTGTATCTGCGATCGGAGCGGAAGCAGCCTCCTGCCGCACCTCCTCGGGCGCAGAGCGCGAGGGACGTTTCATTTCAAACCCAGCGTTCAGAGGAAACTTCTCAATGGAAGAGGCCGTAGAGTGGCATCGATTCCTTTAAAAGCGGAGCGATTAGCCGGCAGATAAATGGGACAGCTCGCTGCTGAATAAGCCCCGCCGGATGCCGCCGTTGGAACACACCCGGCTCGGCGGCCCTGCCCACCCAGCGGCCGCGTGGGAAGGCGCGCAGCAGCGCTGACTATTGCCAGCCACCATCAGCACACGGACGCGAGTTTTCACCGCGCGCATACCGGAATCATCAGTGACGTCAGTATGGCGAGTTTGACGTCACTGATGACTATTGTGCAGTTCATCAGCAGGCTGTGTGCCTTCGAATAAATGCGTTTATGAGATCTATCATCTGCCTGCCCACAGAGTGACGCTATTGAGCTTTGTTCGAGAGTCCCACACTGCAATGATCATGTACGTTTAGGTTACCGACAGACTTCTGCAATTGCATCAGCTAAAAAGACCAAGCTAACTTTATGGATTGTGGGAGGAATTATGTAGGTACACACAGACACTACCAGTGGAGGTTTATAGCAGATATAGTTTTGGATGGATTTACCTAGAATCATGAATGTCTACGTATATTTTGGATTCGCTCAACAGCTGCCGGCAAAATTCATAAAGGCATGAAAATATAGTGTGGGTAAATTGTGATTTTTGATAAAGGCAATGTTTTTAAAGTCAACATCTGCTCACGGATCAGACGCGAAAGCCGCGACATGCTGGCAATATTATTGCAAAGGCTTGACTGAGACGCAGTAAACCGCTAGCCACCAGCTGGCTCCAGGTGACGTCACAAATCGTGTCTTGCGGCTAACGAAACGGCGTTGACAGCAGCAGCCTTTCTGCAGACACTTCTACCAGCCAGCCCTTTGGGGGGGATTCAAAGCCACGATTATGACGTCATTCAGCCGTAAAGAACAAAGCCTTCCTGTTGAGTGCTGAAAAATGCGGTAGCACCCCACCGACAGACCGGGATAAACTAGTTTGATGACGTCACGACCGGAAGATTGTGAAATTGACCGCGGTGAGGAAGGCGCCGTCGTTTTTGCCCCAAGCGTAAACAAGTCTGTGAATGTGTCGGTGTGGATGATTTTGTAATCGAGACACTGAAGATTGAACGGATCTCAGATTAAATCCCCTCTCACGTAAAAGGTTGTGCTGAAATGTTGATAGACTGTGGACTACTTATTTCATTTACTTGCAAAGACGTAGTATACCTACCTTCAGACAGACATGTGCATGGATCCGAGTGATGATCTCAGTGGATCTCGAAGCAAACTGCAGGTTAAGATCTATGATCCCACCGGATCCGGCGAGAAAAATTTATCCTGGATTTATGATCTCATAGGATCTGGCGATAAACGAAGAACACGGATCTATTATCTGAGTGGATCCCGCCATGCGCAACATTTGAAGCCAGGTCGTCAAGTGTTTCTATGTCAATAAGTGCCACAAAACTATGGATTATGACGTTCAATCTCATTAAATCACTAATACAGAACGTTTGTGAGTTGCAACAAGTGATTTTGGGGGGATTTCTGTGTTGACAAAAAAAAAATGAGAACCTATGATCTCACTGGATCTCAAGCAAAAAATAAGACTCGGATCTATGATCGCACCGAATCTCTCGATAAATTTAAGAGCTGGATCTATGATCACGTCGGATCCGAGATCAGGATCCGTGGGATCAGATCCTAGATCCAGTTTCTTGGTCACATGCACATGTCTGCCTTTAGGCACAGTATTTTCCATCATTCTCCTTAGCCCTCTTTTTATTAGCGGACGCCAGCATATCCGCCAGCCTTCTTTGTCCCTCATGGAATATCACACTATGAATCGCGATGATTGAATTATTGCTATCGATTCCGGCTTAAGTTATTTTTTCCTTACATTAGGCATTGTCTTGCATCTGCACAAGCCACCTGGAAGATGTCTATCTGGTATTTTTACTGCATTAACAACGCCTTGATGTTGATTTTCCAAGGCATAACATTGAACTGCAGTGGCGGATCCAGGGGGGGGCAAAATGGGCATTTGCCCCCCCCCCCCCCAACGGCATAATTTTAACATTACGCCTATGGACGATGCATGGAAAGAATCGATAAATTGTTATGGTTTGCCCCCCAAACCTCTGAGCTGGATCCGCCTCTGTTGAACTGTCAACCATAGGAAGGAAAAACCAATATCTGGAATAAACTTTAAAATAGCCAGTCTTACCGCCGCAAAAAAAAAAACAGGGAGTGCGTATTGCGGGCTGGTATAAAAATAGCCAGCCCGATCCTCCGAGCGAACGACCGTTGATAGAAGATACTGGGAGGGTGACCTTTGGCAGCTGAAGGTACAGATGAAACGTGTCTTACAAGGGTCGAGTCTCGTCTGGGCTTTCAGCTATTTCGCTAGTCAGCGGTCATTGTTCCCCCGTCCCCGGGTCACGCGTAGGTATTATACTGAAAATAGATCCTAGCAGCAGGCAATTGGACAAAAGGCACTGTTGATGTCTTTAAAACATAGATATACATTTCTAACATTCAGCCCACGGAAGATATTATTTATGATTGTTGGGACGGGAGTGTCCCGTTGGGGTAGACCACCCAGATACTAAACGGTCGCGCACGCCAGAGGGGTGGGCTGATGGGCTCCTATGGGATGTTGGAGCCGCCCTCCAGCATTTGTGTGGTCATGCCGCGGTGGCCGGTGGCCGTCAGCCCAGAACGAAAAAGCTATACCACGCAGACTTATATTGTATACAACAATATAAGTCTGCGTGTTCAGTGACACAAAACTTTCGACACCAATGATGTGTCCGACTCTGTCTAGCATTACGAGATCGTTATATTATGATCTTGCTGGTCGATCATGATCAGCGACATTTACACAGCTCGGTAGTCATATCATCTCTGATTGTGGGTAAACAGTATAGCCATGGGGACATCGCTCCGTCGGGCTTTGTTATTCAATGATTTAGCTGTATCCATTTGTCACCTTTAATTTTATACAGATTTAACTGTTCTTTGGAGCAATGCGAAGAAAGAAGTTCTAACAGAGATAGCAATTCAACTAGCACTAGCTAACCATTGCAAAGCTATTACGTTACCGCCTAGCCGTGGCCTAGCAGTAGCCATTGATCAATGGACATGCTGAGGAGGGCTGTCCGGCGTCCGCGCTGCTTGAACTGCGACGTGTTAAAGAAATGAAGCTTCAGTTTGTCATACTGCCACCAGAGTATCCGGATCTCCGAGCCACTGAGCTGCACGACGGGACGCAAATAGACATCGACTGAAGCCTTCATTCTCATCAATCAACAAGGAAATATAATGATCAGAGGAAGATCGCTTGATGTTTGTAATCGATTACCATAATCAGAGCTATCAGCACCTACAATGACTTATATCAAGGTAAAACCATAGAAGATCTGCCTAGAAGGGAATCCCTCAGGTAGAGCCGTGGAGGCAGGAAAACCAATGTCCAAAAACCGAATCATATCCGGTGTATCACCCTTCAAATGTCTTTCTTCGTCACATCACTTCACGAGAGGAGTCGTCATGAGGTGCGCATTGGCGCTTGATGGCAGTGAATCATAGCGGGTAAATACGGGTCATGCGGTACAGTCTACCTTCAGGCGTTCGATTGCCCTGCCATCTATGAACTGAAAGTAAAGTGTCCAAGTATTGCGCCCCCGGCGGTCTTAGAAGCGTTCGACAAGGTCGATACAACTCTGAAAGACCCAATCAATATCGTAGAGATATTTAAGGTGTAGAAATATCTGCAATCCATAAATAGTGCATAATCTGACACAACTGTAACGCACTAGCATTAGTATGCCGATCCACTCACCTCTGCCAAGTCCTGAGTGACTGAGATGACCACTCTGTGGCGGTCCTCCTCCCTGACACCGTCCTCCTCCTCCTCCTCCTCCGGCTCGGGCGTGCCGGGCGACGGCAGGTCATCCATGACGTCAGCAGTTCCCGAGTCGACGTCACTCGAGGCAGAGTCGTCGGCCTCGGTGGCCGGCGGCGTCTCCGGCCTGGCGATCACAGCGCCATCTGTGATGGAGAGGCGCCGCTCAGAGGGCGCCACTGAGGCCGGTTTGAGCGGACCGTCTGTGATGATTGGGGCCAGCTTGTGAGGCCCCTTGGTGATGACTGTTGAGGTGACCTTCTCGACCATCGCTGCGGGAAGTCGGTCCACGAAACTGCCCTCACTGAAACGGAAGGAACGGAAGTGTCAATAAGTTACAGTAATTCGTAGAAGACTGAAAATAAATGATGCAATTTAAATACTGGTGATGTCGCACGAGATAAGATATTTGAGGCCGCATTAATGAATGTAGCCTGATTTGCCCGTTTCACTTTGACAAGACAATTGAATTATATAGTTGTAACGGGAAAGATGATACACACTAAAACGCTTCTGGTTAAGCAATGCAACAACGAACACATATCTATCAGGATAAATGAACATTCTCAATCGAACTCCGCATCAGATGACCAGTTTCATCAGTTCAACCAGTTTGGTTGCATCTCCGGCTGCGGTCGTGCACCAGTTTAGTCAGTCAACAACACAACCAAACCCACAGACCCAGCTCAGAAGCCCGCTTATTTCAACTCCGTCTCTACCCCACAGTCCAAACAGGCACCACATGCTAACGGATGAGCTCATCCCGGCGCGGCGCAGTGGGTCGCTCGTTAGCAGCTGATGTGTGTCAGCTGATGTTATCACATGATATCAGTGGGCTGATGATATCAGCAGCGGCTGAGCGAGCCAGCCAGCCAGTTTATGGGTCGCCCATCATGCGTGTGGCGGTATGAGACAGCTACTTGAGATCTGTATCGGTAAAGTGGGAGTCGGACGCAGGTCGGTCTGCAGGTCAAGTGAGGTGATTAAAAACGGTCAAAACAAGGGTTGGTAATTTGGTGTTGTGTTCGGAGGTGAACACAGTCAAAAAGGCCCAGGGGACGTTCTTATTTTTCAAGAGAATGAACCGGCAAACAACTGACAAACTAGTGCAGGCAAGGCAACGGACTGACAGCTATTCTTAGATTGCATCACAGGGATAAATTAGCCGACATTCTTAGGTTACACGAGAGACAATTGAGAGCAGAGATAGACATTCTATTGCACTGTGTTAATCAAAAGTCCACGATGTGTCGTGACCTGCGTGTCAGCTGCCGTGGGAACCGGTGTCGCCAATTCGTGCGGTATTCGGTATCCATATTTATTCTTCTTGTCCTGCTTAACTGGTAGCAATGTTCGGTGCTCCAATAACTAGCTTTATTACGAAACTTTCTCAGTGTTTCAATTTTCATTTCACACGCTGGATTTTCCTTGGAGAGATATATCGTTACCTATAATAACGTCTAACAGAATTAGAAACATTAATATTATTTTGTGTTTAAATCAAGGTGTACTGCTGGCCATCAGAACTTTTGCACACCTGCGCGGTTAATTCGGTCACCTGTGACCTTTGTGCACGTGCCGGACGTTAGACGCGGTCTATAGGGTCAGAGGTCAGCCGACTCACTCGGGCGCTGATGTGGGAACCGAGCACCTGCTAGGCACGGGTTCATCCGGTTGTATGACAGAACTGACAGAACAATTACAGACGGTCTCAAATAATCTCGTGTTTTAAGGTGTCTTTGTTCTGATGCAAACAAGTGTATACTTATAGTGTTTTCGACACACTGAAGTGGTCGTGCCGATGGGCCCAATCTACAGCTTTCTGAGTTTCAATGACTTTGTTATCAAGGTATCCTTACGGCACTATTTAATCATAGCACTCCTACCCTTTAAATGATAGCATATCGTACAGCATCAGAATAAAGCAGATAGCTTATCTGAGATCAACTCTGTTGTTGAGATGACGAAAACACACATTACCAAGTGATGCCAGGGCTGTGTGGTTATCGACCGATGGTCAATGAGCATTGGCCATTGAATTTACTTTGGCTCAGTGACAGAGAACGCTACGGCAATGGCCTTGGCTAAAACAATCGCTCACCTTATAGTTACAGTGTAGACCTCTACAACTGTTAGCTTTAACTGTTGACCGGTAACTGTTAGCTGTAGGTCTATGAATCTCAACAAATAGGAAATCCAGCGCAATTATTTAATTGTTGATGCTGAAATATTTTATTTCCAGTGGCAGCACGCATGCTCAAATACGTAAAATTAAGGCCGACCCTCCTCATGTAACATAAGCTTGTAAATGGCTTGAAATATTGATCGACATACAGTGTATCATTTTTTGCGGAATAATGTCCAATTCTGTAATATATAGGATTCGAGGAAAATTAAGTATCATCGGATGCTAGTAAAAAGTGCACATGCTGTACATCGCAGCATACGTGGGCTATCAATTTAGGTAGGTAAGCCGGCATAAACATTTGATGCGACCCGTTTTAGCTCAATACGACTATACCATGTGTGTCGACTATCAATCTGGTTCATAATTTTCTGAAACCGATTCCACATGTGTGTATTCGTTTCATAGGTGGTGTTCATTTGCTGGCTAAAGGTACGAGTAGGTTTAATGAAGCAAATACGTAACATGAGAAGTGCGGATGGAGGGGTTGGAGCGTCATAACCGAGCGCTGTGCGTAACAATCGTAATTACGGACAGTCTGCTGACGTAATGTGTCGCATTATCCATGATCATTAGGTGGATTATTGGATAGTGCAGAGCAATTTACCTATGGCTAATGGATCCAAAGGGAACGCCCAGAATACGGTCTGGAGATGCCCAATAACACCGATGAAATGCAGCCACACTATTCGAAGAAGAAAGTCTATACGTCACATCTCTCACACAGCACTTCACAATGGGCCGCTTACAAAGTTATTTGGTGTGCAAGTAAATCAGATTCATGTCTTTCCTCACCCAGTACCAACTATTCTTCGTCCTATGTAGTTTCTCACCTGTTGGATTTATTTATATGCTGCTGCGAGGAGGCTGCACCCCGGTCAAGGTCTCCGTCAAGCTCTTTGGAACTAAATGATCTCGGCGGCGTCGGAGCCCTCCTCTTTCTCCTTTTGGCAGAAGTTTGCCTTGAACTTGGACACGAGTGACTGTTGTGCTCTGTGGCTGCTTGATGAGAAGTTGGGGCTTTTCTAGCCTTCAAAGACGCTCTTACGGTTTGGTGGGAGACTATCGATGGTTCAACGGAAGCTGTAGAGGTCTTTCCACAAGGGCAGCCTTGCCTCGCTGGCTCTTTTTGTCCGAAAGAGCAGCCAGGCCCCATCAAAGTATGGCCTGTCCCTTCAGGACACCTTTGCCCCTCGTTTGCAGTGAAGCCTTTCTCTTCCAGGTGGCTGTTGCTCCCATCTGCAGCAGTTTCTGGTGGGATGTAGCTCGGACATAGCTCAGCCTGACATAGAACTAGTTTTCTCTGTAGGTAATCAAACATGTCCCGCATTTGTCGAGACAGAGAGCTAAAAGACGGACGGTTGGACATAGTTTTGTGAAGGTCTTTCGATAAGCAGATCAGCCGACAATCGTTCGGGTATTACTCGAGTCAAGTCGAATTGTCATCAGCAGACCTTATTCAGCGGACGCATTGGCATCGGTCAGTCATTTGACGAAGAGTGGCACCAACGGCTTGGCATGAAAAGTTGACGGGAAACGAGCTCAGAGTTCCTTACACGTGCGCTGACCGTGTATTGTTGAAATGTCTTGACACGCATCACCCTTGGTTTTCAAGTCACGTGCACATAACCTTGCTCGATTTTCTTCGTTTCACAAGGCCGCCGGATTTACAGCTCCCGCCAAAGATCACCGATGCACAGCCGTCCGACACCGGCAGTCCTAGCCTCCCCACCACCGCACGCCCACGAACGGCAGTGGCAGCAGCTTTTAGAGCTCACCATCAAGCTGCACCTGCAATCAGACCGTTATCGGGGCGCCTGCCAGCTATCGGCGCTGATGGGCCGACCAGAGGAGCCGGTGACGCACTGTTGACCTTCGTGTGGTGTTTGTGTGAGAGCTGAAGGTGCTACAAAACGAGACGGTGATAAGCTATGGCACGGATCGGAATGGTACAACACGGTCGGCACGGGCCCGGACAAAGTTGCATGACACCGGACTCGGCCCAACATCGGGCCTTGGAGTAAAGCGAAACGCCAGTCGTCATAATGCGGGTGAAAATAACGCACAACGACAATTTGTTCGCAAGCTTGTAGCATAGGTAACCAAATGGCATATAACTTCAATATTTGTGATGCATCGTGCACCTAAGTCATCACATGTCTCAGTCACAAAGTGCATCATAACAGTTAAAATTCAAATCAGTCGCCCTCAGCCGTTAAGCATCTCACATCTAACAGGTCACGTTTCACGTCACGTCAGCCGCGTCTAGGTCCGTGTGCTGACCGTCGTAACGGTGGCCCTCACTGGCCGTGGGCGGGTGGCGTGTCTTCTCAAACAGCCCTCGTGAGAACTGAACCACATGTCTGGTAATAATAGCCCTTTCCGTGCTGGCAGAGTGGCACTTCACGCAGCAAAAGTCCACAACAGACAGATCAGGAGATATTTTGGGTCACTGTGCCTACAGAACGGAAATGGTTGCTTTGAACTAGGATTTGGTTTGGGATAGAAATCCAACACTTCTTAGATATAATCGTGTCGTGACATCTACATATTAATGATCGAAACGCGGAGACATTTATTACGCAGTACCCAATTAAAAGCAAACCAAACCGCCTTCTGAATCACATTGCTGCAGCTCCATTCAGTTCTCAACATATCTGCGATCATTTTCCTCACTTTTCAGCGAAAATCTCAGAACGCTTACGATACAATTTCCGGACATTGATGACCCCTCATTCATCAAGTTACTGAATCGGCCCATTGTTATCGAACGATATCTTCACGATATTTGTGAAAATCTCGATTTCGCTCCTCTTCCGTAGCACGATCGTGCCGCACGTCGTGGCGCAACTGTCGCCACACAAAGACGTGGCGACGTCCGGTGTCGCCACGGCAGCACGCCATCTCGCAATCCGAGCAGCGCAGCACCGCAATCCGGACTGTGGTTGCACTGTCCCAGCGGAGCCGAACGGCGTCGGCACGGAGCACGGAGCTCTGTGACGTCACTTCCGGCACACTGTCGGTCGTTTTCCGCAGGTGAGGTAAGTGGGCTAGATCGACCGATAAAATTGCCGATTGGCGAGTCATTTTTAGAGTTGGTTCTGGATGGACGTGGTTGT